CAAGATTAAGACTTAATTATATGTTTGTTTTGTTTTCCTAATCTATGTCACAGTGAAGTAGGTAGACCTAAAAAAAACCTCTGAAATTTAGACTGACCATCATATGGAGGATTTACAGCACTGTGTTTGGGTCCATTTCTGTAGGCCTGTTGAGAGAGTATGCAACAGCGCTTGCATGCAGTCCTGCAAAAACCAACAGTACGTAGCTCAGTGTAGGTGATGCTGATTTGAAACCTTGATCTACTAACAAACCAATAAAACTCCATCATTTGTAGAAAAGGAAAAGAAAGAAAGAAAAAGAAAATAATATTTGATGTCTACCTAGATACTCACAGAACTGTAGTTACATCAATAACCATGTTCTAGCAGGTTTTTGCTCACACCTAGACAGATTTTAACTGCCCCATCAGCCATTAGCTGGTGTAATAATCTTATAATCCATCCATCCATCCATCCATCCATCCATCAATCAATCTTCCCCATATCTGCTTTACTGTTATCAGAGATGTTCCTATTCAAGTTATCATGGGGTATTAGATGGGGTACACCCTGTACAGCTTGGCAGACTGTCGCAGGGCTAACACAGAGAAAAAGACAGCTATTCAAATTCACACCAATAGCTAATTTTGAATCACCAGGTAACCTAACCGTACATTGGACTGTGGGAGGAAGTTGAAGTGGAGCGCCAGGCAGGCGCAAGGAAACTGTGTAAACATCAGTCATGCCTGCTTAAGTAAATGACCAAAACAAATGAGCAGTGCAGGAGAAACTCCATTACTTACTCCAGTGTAATGTGATGGTCTCACCTCAAGAAACCTTAAAAAAATTGCCCAGCTCCCCCACTGACTTTAACACCTGGAAACTGTTCATTTTACTAAGTAAAAAATGTTTTTTCTGTGTCTTAGCAGCTGTTACGCTGTCTCATTATAATTCTGATATTATTTGGATGCGATTCAGACTTTATATGTATCTGCATCAGACCATTACTTCACACAAAGCTGCCACTGCTGCCTCCAGCAGCACCCGTAATCTGTCACACTGAAGAAATCCATCAGTCGCTCGCTTGCCGCCAAAAATATAAAACTCTGAGTTTAAATTAACACTGCACAAACATGCCCCCGCTCCTCTGCCTTCCTCCTCCCTTCATGGCCGTCACTCAGTCCATCGAAGCCACGGCCCATCCCACAATCGGGGCGCCACATTTAGCAACTCATCTGCATAAAAATTCAATGATTTCTTTCTCCTTTCATTTTCATATTAAATTGGGCAGAAGAGGGAAAAGATCGAGAGTGTAAGAGAGAGAATGAAGAGGGAGAAAAGAGAGAGATAATGAGTGTGGTGTGTATGCGTGTGACTATGCCTTCCTTCATTTTTCCACACTGGAGTGTAAAATGGTGCAAAAGAGAACCACAACTGTGTGTGTGTGTGTGTGTGTGTGTGTGTGTGTGTGTGTGTGTGTGTGTTGTGTGTGTGCTGTGTGTGTTGGCTTTGGTAATCAAGCCTATGGAAAACTACAGTAGCTTAGTACCAAACCACAAGCCAAAGTAAAAATGCACTTTCAGCAACACACTCAAGCCAATATATTTGTGTGTGTGTGTGTGTGTGTGTGTGTGTGTGTGTGTGTGTGTGTGTGTGTGTGTGTGTGTGTTGATGTGTGTGTGTGGGTGAGACCAAGACACACACACACACACACACACACATCCTCAGATGACCTCGGCTGATCTTGTGGGTCTGCAACAGCCATGTGCGAAGGTTTTCTGAGGGTGAAAAAGACACGGAAAGTGCAAAGTGTGAACTCCTCGACACACAAAGAGCCTTTCAGTGGTGATGAGACGCTTGCAAACCAGTCTGCCTCCTCAAGTCACACCAACAGTTCTTACAGCAAAACCAAAGTCTGCTTAAATTCAACTAATGTCATGTGCATTGCACTCTAGTAGTTATTTTTTCTTGCTGTTTTTGAGTTAAGTGATTATTAATTTTGTGTGAAATGTGAGAAAAAGGTGAAAAACTTCATGTCATAAAGACCAAGTTGATATATTAAAATTAGGGTTGAAGGAAACGGTACTAACTGCCTGACCTGGGAAGCCATCAGCTAGCCTGCTAATTTGGCTTCTGCTGGCGGAAACTTCCAACTTCCAGTGGATATCCAGAACAGCTTATGATGGATATCCTGGCCAAGACTTCCTGCTCTGTTCTCCAGTTATTGCCATTAATATGTTTTTAAGGGTAATGAAAGCCTAATGGGGGAATAATGGCTCAGCAGTGGTAGCTACGGACTGCCCGTCTCCCTGCAGAAAGCGTCTGTTGTCAGGTGTTGGCAGTGTCATGTGGTACAAATGGTCTGATTGTGATGTTGCTGGTCCCTCTGCCAGCTGTGGAGAAGAACAAAGTTCTGACATACAAACAGCTGAAGTGACACCAGAGTGTTACTAAGAGTCAAGTGTCCACTTGAGCCGTCTGTGCTCTTACTGCTGGAAGTTTTGATTGTTACGTTTTCGTTTTTCACACTTTTCACACTTTTCACACTTCTTCGTTGTCACTACCAGCCGTTTGTCAACTAATCAGCATTCAACTGACACACAGCATCATCCACAGCAAACACCATGCAGTTGGGATTTTAGAGGGAGCATATTTGTGATGGTTGGAAACGCCTCTCCAGAGTGAATACCTCTGCAAACAGACACAATCACGGCGCTGTAAATTAAGTAACAGTTGCTATTAGTTTGGAGATTGCTCTTTTGCTTGTCACACAGTCTGTTTACATGCAATGCAACCAAAGTTGGTTTGAATTTGATTGGCCATTAGAACTCAAACAACAAATGGAAACCAGTTTCTGGGACCTAAAATCTTGTACCTAGCCTACAACAATGAATAAATAAATTTTCCAGCTTCTCCCTTGCTAAAAGGGGTCACTACAGGTAGCCCTGCATGCTTTTTCTAAAACGATAACTAAATCTGAGTCCCAGTGCAAAGTTAAAGTCAATTAAAGCTAGCATGTCATAAGTCTACCACATCATTATCACACAGTCAAAGTTGAGAGTGGGTGCTTTGTGTGTGTGAAACTTCAAATAGTTCCTGATGAACACCGAGTAGTGCATTTGCTTGAAATGTCCACTCCAAATAAAAAAACACTTGCTTCAAAATTAGCACTGTTGCCACACAGCAAGAAGGTCCTGAGTTCAATTCCTCCATCAGGCCGAGGTCTTTCTGTGTGGAGTTTGCATGTTCTCCTCGTGTTTGCGTGGGTTCCCTCCGGGTACTCCGGCATCCTCCCACAGTCCAAAGACATGCAGTTAGTGGGGATAGGTTAATTGATTAATCCAAATTGCCCATAGGTGTGAATGTGAGCGCAAATGGTTGTCTGTCTCTGTGTGTTGGCCCTGCGACAGACTGGCGACCTGTCCAGGGTGTACCCCGCCTCTCGCCCTATGACAGCTGGGATAGGCTCCAGCGCCCCCCGCGACCCTGAAAAGGATAAGCGGAAGCGAATGGATGGATGTACACCGAGTAGTGCATTTGCTGGAAATGTCCACTCCAAATAAAAAAAACCACTTGCTTCAAAATTACAAAAATATTTATTTACGATAATATATGAAACTCATAGCTGATAAAAAGGACCCTCAAAGATCTGTTCCCCACAGAAACAGACTCAGTGCAGCAGCAGCCAAAATCAAACCTGAATAAAATTCAATGTGAAATAACTGCCTGTGACTTAAAGTGGGCGGGTCCTGAGTTAAACGTATTTCCGCTCTGAGATGAGCGACTGAAGCGACTACTGATGGGCGGGAAGCACACCTTTAATTGCTGGTGGTAAATACATTGGTGGGTTTTCTGCACGACTGGATGCCCTAGTGTTTATTTTAGGGACTACACGAGAGCTACAAAGTGACGATGCATGGTGAGCACCGTCTCTTTGTAGCTTATGATCAAAATCGATGACACTTTACATATAAATGTGTGTGTAGATCCAATACTTTGTACACTATCAGAGCAGATAAGAAAACTAAGAACTTTAATTTTTAAGTGAAGCACATAAAAAACCCCATTTAATTTCTTTCCAAAGCAAACAATGTGTTTTTGTCTAAAATGGAAAGTTTTTTATTGTTTATGACTCATTTTTATTTTTCTTGTGTATTTTATCAAATAATTACTCTTTTCAAATGTGAACAATTAGTATTTTCTATTTGTTATCTTAACTTTTCGTTCGCTTTAACCTGTTTTGTTTTTGGCCCTAATTGCTGGCTTCCTGTTTGAATTTAGCAATTTGACTTTGAAAGCAGTTTACAAAGCAGTTTGTTAGACAAGCAAAGAGGCTTCAAAAACAAAGTTATCATCAGTATTAATGTGGTTAAATGCTAAAATTCCCAGCTCTGATGCTTCTGACCAAAAACTGGGGGGGAAATGTGAGTAAAATTATGCAAAACACATGGAGAATATTTCCATTTGATAAGTGGATGCAGATCCTGGAACAAGCTCAGAACACGATTTCAACACTTGAAAATAATTAAGGTGAAAAATCAAGAAATTAAATTATTTATTGATCTTTAAAGTGATTTAATTCAGCTTTCATCCCAAAGCCTGAATGGAAAACAGTACCTCAGTTTGCTCTGTGCTGCTTTTCATTGTTTTCCCTTTTCTAACATCCTGTGAAATTCAAAGTGGCAATGACAAACACCAGACACCACGGTGCCGCTGCCCCTCACAGCACACAAGTGTTCACTGCCATGCAGGATAAAAAATTTAGCTTCCTAATGCCAGAAAAGCATCCCAGCTACAAAGAAACGCACCCAAAGCTAAGTTAAACACCCCGAAATGAGGCACACATGCTACATGGCAATCACGCCATCCTCACCAACGTCAAGTGTGACATTCCTGAGAATTTATAATCATCACAAGTAGCTGTGCTCCTCGTTTCAGTACCACTCCGCTCCCTGCTCCAACTTTTTCTGCACTTTTCATCCCTCCACAAAAAAAAAGAAACCATTTTAAACGTCTCTTACCCAGTCTGGCCCAGAAAACTTCCATGTCCGAGCTTCTAAAGTCTATCCGGCACACCAGCTTTCACACCCATGTAGCCTCAGAGGAGGAAAAGAGGTGAGGGAGAGAGGGCAAAAAGACGAAGAAGAAGAAGAAGAAGAGAAGGAGGAGGAGGAGGAAGAGAGGCCAGCTGCCTGTTGAGGTAAACCCAGTGACTCATTCAGGCTGTGGCTCCGAGCGTGTCAGCAGGCAAATATGAGCGAGAGAGGGGGGAATAAGATCCAGCAGGACCGGAGGGGAGAAGACGGAATAGTGTGCAGGGGGAAAAGGACGCTTTCTGTCAGAGGGTGAGAGAGGAGAAAAGGAGGAAACTGATGGTGCCCGGTGTTGTGCCTTCCCACTCCTTTTTTTCCCCACCCTCACTCTTCCTCCCCCACTTCCAGCCACTTCCCCTCCTCCTTTCTCCCTCGCTGCTCTCAGCATAAAGGAATCTTAAGTGTTTAAGAGGTGATCAGCAGCCCTAAGAAGTGGAAGAAAATAAAAACACTAACACGTTTCCTGCAGCCCTGCATGCATTCCTGGGGACTACATTCATATGGTCTTCACAACTGATGACTAGCACTATTATTAATGAGCTAAGCATGCATGTGAAGAATAAAATCAATAAATATCAGCATGCCAGGGTATTTTCAGATATTTCATGCTTTAAACTGCACAAACTACAAGAAGTGCAGGGTGGGAAACATTTACTGTTGCAGGAAGGAAACCTCCCCATTATCTAAGAGTCCTCGCAGTTTATCTCTCTCTCTCTCTGCCTGTAGACCAAATTTGTGTTGTCTGTGTCACCTACTGAAGCTTGACCTTTCAAACAAGAGCCGAGACGGACGTATGTGATCAGCGTCTCTTGTTTATCAGCCAGACTAAGGAGGACAGGGTGAAGGAGACAGTGAGATGGAAGCAAATGATCCAAAAGGGATCAGTCGAAAGAAAACCACGTTAAAAGGTTGTGTTCAGATATAGATCTGATGTGGTTATGTGTCATTAAGCCCTTTTGCATCTGGATGGTAAAAGGCTTAAAAGTACGCTAAGGTAGTATGATGGTGTAGTGCTGCTAGCTCATAGCAAGAAAGGTCTGGGTTTCAGAGTGCTATTCGTGTGTGGAGGTGGCAGTGATGTTGAGGAGGAAGAGCGTCCTTTCGCTTGTCGATCCATTTTAGGAACGTCTTTTTATAGTCGTCTTTTCAACATCTTGCCAATTAGTGTGTCCTTGTAGAGCCCGAGGTCTCTGATACCAGCAGCATATTTGTTTCCAGTCATAATAGCTGGTTATATTTAAAGCTGTGCACACGGCGAGCTAATACAGCACATTCCCATGGCTATAGAAACTGCACAGCAGGTTAATGCAGTCATTTAGAACAGGCTGCAGAACACTTGCAGTGCAGCTTTATCAGCCTGTTGAACATATTTAGGATCAGAACATTATTATTAAGCTCATTTTACTTCTGCTGCTACACATTTTCAGATGCCAAACAATCACAACATGTCAGAGCTGAAAGATGTTTTCCTGGCTGGATTGTCACTTTCACAACAACACACCTCATTCACACGTATGCATTCAGGCAATGACAAAGTGTGCGAGCGCTGCGGGTCACCTATGCCGCCACCTCCGGTGTTTTCAGGAAGTAAGAGAGGAAGGAAAGCACCCTGGCCAAACCAACAGAGGAAAAGGAAAAGGGGGGAAAGGTATAAAGAATTAGATGTTTGTTCCATTTAAAAATGTAACCAACGTGATACTGATAAGAATAATATGGATTTGATAATTAAATATATAAGAAAAAGCTACAGAATTGCTGAATTGGTGGATTTAGATAATCTGCTGTGTTTTGTTAGTGGCTGAGGCAAAGCACCATTTTTGGTTTGTTCCTAAAAAAGGCTGAAGACAAGACAATCAAGTCTAGAGTTTGACTGACCAAAGTTGAGTCAGTCAACACTGTAGTTGGAGATTTTTTCACTCTCATCAAAGAATTTTGTTGACGTACTGTAAGGTAAGAAATCTTGACAACATAAATAAATACTGATCACCCACAGCAGCTGCAGGATGGAAATTCTTGTCATGAACTACCAGCCTACAGTTTTGTGCTGATGTTAAACCCAATGGAGGTTTGGATCAGTGCAGTTATTAAGCAAGCAGAGTGTTGGTGACTCAACGACCTCGCTCTGTAGCTTTATGCCATCTGACACTTTGTGGTTGAGTTACTGCGATTCTTAGATTTGTCAGTGTCACTGTCACCAAACCATACATTCTTCTCTCACCCTATCACACGCTTTCTGTAGATCGACAAAGACACAGTAAAGCTCCTTCTATACTTTTTCATCAACACAAAGCAAACATCACATCTGTTGTGCTCCGTCTCAACATGAAGCCATACTGCTGCTCACTGATCCTCATCTCTCTTCTTAACGTAGCTTCAACATGGCATAAAAAGAGAAACAAAATATGCTGGTGCTGTGTTTCGTTGTGATTTATATGATTATTAAACTATTACTTTTGTAACAGGATGCGGACTTAAAGGACTAAGCTGGGTTAAATCTATCACAGCTAAAAAAAAACAAGCTAACTGTGGAATAAAGTGGCGCTTACGTCTCTATCCACAGCAAAATGAGCTAAACTCACCATCAGCAGAATTGTAGATCTCAAAATAATCACTGCAGGAGGAAAATTATGGACAAAGCCCTCAGCATGATACCACCACACAATGGCGAGAAGGCATACAATGGATGCACAGCAAAGGAAGAATTAGTGCAACCAATTCAATGACAGGTGTTGTTAGTACGGGACATTTGCTGGCCTGGGCGCTGGCCCGGATGCTGAGTATGCAGATCTGCCACCCAGGGAGCACATATGATTAATCCTCCCTCCACCTTTAAATACAACAGCACCGGTTCCTCTCAGCAAGGCACTAAACCCCCGACAGAGAAGCTGCTGCTCAGTAACCAGTGAGTAAGTCTGAAGCTTTGCTCAGCGGCTCAAAGGAAACTGGGAGTTCAGGAGGAGCTCTGCTGCAAATATCACTCAGATAACTGAAGGTTAAAGACTCCTCAGCAGGTTTGATATATTCTTGAGACACCAGAGCATCAGTGAAGCTCCGCAAAGTCCTTAATTACATGTTTTAAGTATGCAGGAACGTGATCTCACCCACACACATACAAGCAGGTGCTCAACCGCTGCGTGTGTAACCCTCAGAGCTTTGTATACGATGACTCAGCAGCAACGTTTCCTCTTCATCACAGGCACAAACTGCTCTCCGAACAAAGACGGGCTCCGTGTCAAGAAACAACAAGAAAACTGCAGGGGTGCGGAGCTGGCGTCTGCAACGCTCAGATTGAAGTCTTAGCGGTTTAGCACGCCGCCGTGAGTGTTTTAGTGGCTGCACAAACACAAAATAAATAACTTCTATGATAAAACATATTCAATCCGGGTTTAATGCAGCTGTCCTTATCTCAGCGTCTCAGTTTAGGACAAAACCTGCAAAAGAGCATCTAACTCTTGATGATTCTTCTCAAACCCTCCATAAAGTAAAAAGATAATAATCAGTTTTAAAAAAATGTGTTTTTCTTGAACCTTTTGTTAGCACTTCACTGCGGTTTAAAAACTATTGGAAAGTGTTTTTTGTCTACTAATGGTGTGAAAAGCAACCTGCAGACCAAACCACAAAGCTCAAGCTGGTTCCGAGGGACGAAGGCGCAGAAGAAAATGAGACTTTCTTGCTGTTTTTTCTCTTTTAGTGCTAGTTTAATCCGCAGATTTGGCTGCTTTGTTGATAAGGTCAGTTGGAGTTGTAACAGAGGATGTGACTCACAGCTAATAGGAGCACTAAAGGTGCTCTAAAACTCTCGACTCCTGATTGCTGCAATTTGCATCAAAACTCGTACGCCTTCTCTCAGCTGTAACTCGGTCAAATGCAAATGTGCAGAAAGTATCTTTATACTAGTGCTGGACATTTAAAGATTAATATATCTTATTAATATATCCACTTTAAAATGTTTGTCAGAGAACGGCAAAGTTGAGGGTTTGGTAGCTGTCCAACCACTTAAATACACTTGAAGACATATTCACACGTGTTTCTAAGAAGGAAAGCTTTGATTTTTATTTTACATTTTGCAGGTATGAAGATTTTAAACGAAACTAAATTGAAATATTGTTGATATTCTCTCTCTTTTCTTGCATAAAACCTGATGAAAGCTGATGTGAAGGCTACATGCACCTGATTGTGTCTATTTCCAAATGGAAATTACTTCACTTTTATTATCTGCTGCTGATTCTTTGACATGTGAAATCATGGTTAAAGTTGCCTGTAGTATAATATTAACCCTGAAAACATGACTTTAAGGACTTTGTTTAGAGCCCTGCTTACAAAACTATCTGCCAAGCTTTTTGGTAAAATATATAAATACTCATATGGTAACCACAGTCACCATATCTCAGCCTAATACACAGATGCTGCACCTTTAGGGCGCAGCAACTGTGTGATGCTGTCATGGAAACATGGACCAACAGCTCTGAGGAATGCTTCCAGCGCCTTGTTGGATCTGTGTCAGGAAGAACTGCAGCAGTTCTAAAGGCAAAAGAGAGCCCAGGACGGTACTTGCAAGGTTTAACTAATCCCTCATATATATGTATTTGACAATGAAGGCCATGCATAATAAAGCATATTTTCAGTGATCTTTATATCATAAGGTCCTTACTTTGCAGCAGCGAGGCTGTTATCTGTTCTTGCCTCCCTGAAGTCAGACATTCTTTCTGACTTCAGCTGAAGATTTCAGTCCCATTTTGAAGCTCCTATTCATCCCCATCCTCGTGAGTAGCAGCAAAACATTAATTCTCATGAGCAAGGAGAGGGAAAAAAGCCAATGCCATCCTGTAATACCACAGTGGATGCATTTTAGAGACAACTTAGAGGCCCAGTTTCAGTCAGGACCAGCACTTCCTGTTCAATAGTCTTTATTCTGTTGTTCAGAGTATAACAGTTGGGTTTATTGAAATGCGATGGAGGCTGAGCAGATATTGAACTATTAAACTCAGACGGGGGAAATGTTTATGAGTTTATGTGCGCTTGCCTAAATGATGCAGTACTGAGTACAACTGTCAGAAGAAGAAGAGTTACAAAGGATGAAGATGCGCTGTTCTAACCGATCAGCAGGCGACGCACACTCGGCTGCTAATGAATGGACAAACCAGCGAGTGCATCCAGAGGCACCCACGTGCTCACTGGCCACTGGCAGAGGGCCGACCGGCATTCGATTGACCTGCTTTAACACCTGTACAATTGCCATAGCAACACTATCCCCCCACCACTCCACCCTCCCCTCCAAACACAAGTTCCCAGGCTCTGTTTCCTGTCTTCTCACATTCATCTGCCTCGTCTTCATCTTCCTCATCTTCTCTTTTTTGCTTCCCTTGTCGATCTTCCAGAAACTCTTGTTCCCTCCTCTTCCTCCCCGTGTCTTTATCCTCCCTGCATCTCTTGCCTCTCTCTGTCTCTCTCTCTGACATCAAGTATCTAACCTCAGATCTCTCAATCGTTCTCTCAGAACCCTCCCTCCTCACCTCCATCTAATTATCTCCACACACCCCTCTTTCCCCATCCCTCACACTCTTCCTCTTCTTCTCCCTCTCCTGCTGCAGGTTGCCTGCCAGCGCTGGGAATGACATCACCGCTTTGAAAATGTATGAATGAACACGTCCGTCATGCGTCTGCATGGTCGGTCACATCTCTCGACGCGAAGAAGCAAGTGAGAAGAGCAAACAAAGCAGTGCAAGAGGTGGGAAAAATGAATATTTTGGATGTTTTGGAGCACGGAGACAGGAACAAAGGAAACGTGTCATCGTGTGATCGCTGGGATAACGGTTGCATAGCAGCTGAGGTGCGATGGGCCAGAGTGATCACAGAGAAAATCTACAACCACTCTGTTCATTCATGTGTTTGCAACAGCGAGATGTGTGTGCGAGTGAAGAGCCAGGGGGTAAAAAAGTTGGAGAATCAGGAGACAGCTGATGGGTGAAAGAGGGAGAGGTAAAAGCAGGGACAGGGAAAAGACGATGAGATGGGAACGAGCAGAAATCCCGGCTCAGACTAGATGATCTCTCTGTCAAAACCACCATCATCCCTTACGCCGGTGCCACGATTTGGCCAAGAGATTCCCATCTACGCAGTTAAAGTCTGAATAATCACAGCTTGTGGGTTTTTGCAGCCTTCATTATGTGTAAATGTGATACAGCAAAACAAACAAAGACAAACTCTGGTGATTAGGAATGTCATAAGCCCTGAAGTCAGAGCCATTTCATTTCAGCGATTACAAATAACAAAGAGACCTGCATTCACTGCATCGATCCCATACCAATGCCAGCGCAGGTAACAATATATGAATATATGAATTGATCCACATCCCTCTAATTGATACCACCAAAAGAAAAAGAAACAGAGAGCAAACATAAAGGGATAAAAGAAGGTTAAAAACTGGAAAAGGCTTCATTTACTCAAAGAAAGAATGAAAACTACACAGAGGTCGTCCACTGAGGGTTTCCCACGTGAAGAAAATCTGTGTTGGATATGATGCGATTCGAGTTTTAATTGGCTTGAAGTAAACAGGGGAAGGCATTTAAAAAACATCAGAAGGAGGAGAAATTGGAAGTTAATGTGAGAAATTAGCAGCTAAATAGTCTAACAACATTAAAACTCCCCTCATCGGAACATCCAAAGGCAGAAATTACTGATGTGCCTACACCGTCTGACTAACAGGTATTCACTGAGATTTGCGGTGCACCAAAATAAAAATGTCATAGGCCATGTATGCACAGACTTCACATGATAATGCTGCTGGGGTCAGCTTACCCGCTCGACAACAAAAATCCAAGCTGAGGTAAATGGATATATATAGTGCTTTTCTACTCACTTTGAGGACTCAAAGTGTTTTTACTACAAGCTTTAATCAAACAAATGCTTTTCCAATGGATCTATTTTATCCAAGGATCCTTTGTTGGAGGACCAGGGATTGAAACACCAACCATCCAATTAGCAAATGACACACTCTACCCGCTGAACTTGAATGAACTCCTAAGCAGCCATCTTGGTAAAACCTCCGGACAGATATTTAACCTGTCAGGTCCAAGTACCCCTAACCCTGTCCATTCACAGTTTACAATATTTGGCTTTTGAATAATGTCTCCAAAAATCTTTGGTGGTTTAATCCCAGCAGAGGTGGCGATAGAAATCAATCTCAAAGTCCTCTATCTAAATGAATACAGAGACAAAGATCCAGCCTTATATGTTTTCTGTTTCTGCAAAAGATTTCTTTGACTAAATAGGTTTAGACATTTGTTCTGAGGATTGTTTGAGTGTCACTCCTCCTTATACATGTTTCTCCTGTAACTGGCATCTCTTCATTATAAATAGTGTTGAATTCCAAAACCTCACATACAAAGTCATAAATAATCAGGCTCTGTCGTATGTTAAAGATCTTGTAGTATAGTACAATCCCAGTCCATCCCAGCTGTTACGGGGAAACATGTGGGGTACATCCTGGGCAGGTCTGTGACTTCATAGCACCAGGTGTTTATGTACACCACTACATCATTCATTTTTTTCTTCCCTTGCCCATACTTGGTCTTTTGTCCCATTTTCCTGTGCTTTTCTTTGTCTCTTCTCTTTTCAACTCATAAGATGGTCACCCTGAACCTGGAAGTTTCTTCCTGTTGAAAGGGAGGTTTTCCTTTCCACAGTCGTGCTTGCTTGTAGGGGATTGTCTGATTGTTTGGGTTTTCTCTCTCACACTGCCTTCACAAAGCTTCAATAAACATTAAAAGAAAAGAAAAAATACTATATAGGTAAATAGAAAAACCATAAAGAAAAAGTAATTTATCTATAATTGTAAGCATAATCCACTCAACTTGTTAGCAGCAACCATTCATCACTCTACCCACATTGTACTGATAACTATATAAATTGACTCCTCTATGTCCAGGTTAAAAACACTTCTAAAAAGATCAGTCAGTCAAACTGAGCTTTGACCCACTGCGTACCAGTTTTCCCTGAAATTAAAGTTATAATTAGCCACCCAAGTAAGTTCCTGGAGGCATTTCAAGACAGCGAGACTTGCTTCTAAGACCTTTAACGAAACATCCAATCTGACCTCATCAGTCTGAGGACTTCCTGCAATACAACAACATTTTAGGTTTCATTTTTCAAAGCCAAGAACTGCTAAAGAAATCCTCACGAGGAATTTCGCACATTCCTCCTCGCCAAACGACCAGCTGTCCTGACCAGAGCTTCTTTCACTTCACTGTGAAAAAAATACGGTTCCTCCTTTTTGCCCGTTAAGCAGCAATTACACCTCTTGTGTCTGACCGTGTCGTCATCACACCAGTAATCTTAGAAAATGAACCAGTAGTGTATGTGATGCAGCATCTGGTGACCGTCACTGTGGTGTGAAAGATGATGAATGTGCTCTGGATGCCGATTAAAGTCAAGGTCAAACATATCAGGAAATGTCTTGTGCTGATTATTGCACCACTGCAGGTGCACGGAGGCCAGTTGGCTGTCGGCTTCTGTTAAAACGTACATACATGCTGCACACGCACACACACACACACACACACACATACACTGTTCTCCAGAAGGAGACTGAGCATATGGGTGTGTTTACTCTCTCAGCTCGGCTCTATGCAGCTCTGCAAAGCGACATAAACACTTTGCATGTGTGTTTTGCAGCGCAACATCCTTCTCTTCCTCCCCTCCAAGCACTTCATCATCAATTTTTTTTCACCTCCTCTAATTTTGCTCCCTTATCTTTCTCCTCTTCGTCGTTTCTGCCCCAGCCAATCTTCCTCTTGTTCTGCTTCATCATCTTCCTCCCACTGCCCCCTCTCTTGTATCCCTCTCTTTCTCCATCCTTTCCTATCCAATTCCTCTTCCCCTTCTCCCCCTTAATCATTCGATGAGGAAGCGAGTAAGAGCTTCAGATTTACAAGGGCTGTCATCTCCGCTTCTCTCCATCTCCCATTTCTCTCTCGCTCTCTCTCTTTCCTGCACACTATCTCTACCTCGTTCGCCCCCAGAGATAATTAAAGAGACCACTAGTAATCCCATCCAACCGTGCAGGACTGGGCAGTGCACCCGAGCAATTGCACACACAGACACACACACTTGTGCATGCACAACACTGCAGCATGTGGCAAGTTGTACTCAAAATGTGTAAAACATGAAACATTAGAATTTGCACAAGAACACACTTTGGATTTAAAGTGTATAGGGTACACCAACAGACAGACAGACACACACACACACACACACACACACACACACACACACACACACACACACACACACAGTTTATCAGCAAAGAGTTATACGACAAATTGACCTAGTTCATTCAAACCTGAGAGCCAAGATGAAGGAAACTGGAAGGAGAGATGGATGTTTGGGTAAATGAACGTGAGCTAAATGATAAATGAATCGAAGCACAAATGATATAAATGGGGGTGTGAATGGGTTAGAGCCTCTGCTGATGGAGAGATGGGAAAAGTTAGAGATAAATGGATGGAACAATGGCCCAAATGGCACTACTATACAGGATAAATAGATAGAAAAACGAATGAAGGCTTTCCAGGATGGATGGAGAGATTGAAAAGAGGACTGAGAGCCAGTTTAAAAAGATGTGGATGGGAAGGAAATGATGAATGAGTTGCTGGAGGGATTAAAATGAAGGAAGAAGAGCATAATATCAATACTATTTAGATGCGAGAGATGTGGCTATGAAACGGTTTGGAGAGATGGACGGTAAAATTGGACGACAAATGGATTGAAGAAGCGATAATAGATGGACCAGTGCAGGACTATATGAATGGATGGAAGGATTTTTTGGGCGATGTGATTTGCCTGGACTATAACGAATTTGGTGGCAGAAATCGGAAGATGAAAGGACGGCCAAAAAAAAAAATAAAAATCAAAGGTGGACAGACCGAGAAGAGATCAGGTGAATAAATGGAAGGAAGTCAGCAAAGGTTTGGACAGAGAAGGGGAAAGATGGATGGATGGCTAGTGCAAAATGCAAGGATTTATGATAAGACGGTCTGAATATGACAAATTTGGTGGCAGAAATCCAAAAAGCAAATGAATGGAAGTCATACAACGTAGACAGACTGAAAGGTTGGATCCATAAAGGGGCAAATAGAGGGTTGCGTGTGCATTAAATAATTAATTTAGGATGAATGGGTGCAGAAATCAGCAGAAAAATAAACAGAATTACATGACAACAGCATATAGGCAGATGGGTAAATGCACATAGGCTGGGGAAGCGTGGAGGATGAATGGACGAGAAAGATGCATGAATACACGAGTGAAAAGAGTCCAGTCAGGTGAGGTTCGACTGGGGGAGACAAATGAGTGCATGGATGGACTGATGGAGAAGGGAAACAGAGTGAGAGGCAGACAGGAATCATAAAAATGCACCAGAGAGATACAGGGATAAAGTACCTGTTGCCGATTTGGGTCTGTGTCTTCCTTTGGGCCGTCGCTGGGAATTGCCCATACTATTCTTCCTGTCCCAAAACATCACCGCTTCATGCCACCGACACACACACACACACACACACACACACACACTGACTGACTGACTGAGAGAGAGAGAGAGAGAGTGACGGTCGAGGTGTGAGCTCGTCTCCCGGATTAAAGCATGTGCAAGACGAGTGACAGCCGATAAGTGTGTGAGTGAGAGGGAGGACTGAGCGTCACAGCATCACCGAAGCCGCCTGCGTCCCGAAGTGTGTGACTGCATGTCTGTGGTGTGTGAGGGGAGCTCGGCGTGTGATTGCAGATGAGTGTGTGTGTCCTACTCTACGTATATATGTGTGAGTGTGAGAGAGAGCTTGGGTGAGTGCACAGCGCTACGTGAGCTGGTGACAAAGCAGCCTGGGTACCGGCGTGTTTGTGTGTGAGAGAAACAAAGTGTGCGTAAGCAGCTGTGCATATTTTAGTGTAAGGTTTCAGTGCAGTTAGTGAGCATGTGCGTTACGCATGTGTGTGTTTGTGTGTCTTGAGAGAGAGAGAGAGAGAGAGAGAGAGAGAGAGAGAGCATCCATTGCGTTGATTAGCTCCCAGCCAGTTGAATCCAGCCGCTGCTGCTCAATTCAGAAAGAATGCAGGCAATCACAGACGAGAGATCGAGGAAGAGGAACACAAGTGAGAGAGAGAGGAGAGGGAGTGAAAGAGGCAGAGCGAGAAATCAGGGAGAAAAGAAAAGAAAAGAGAGAGGAGGGGTCGGTGCAGAGAAGGAGAAAGTGATAGATTGGTCCACTATCAGCTATGTGACCAGAAAACTGAGGAGACACCGGCTACACAGCCAAAAGTATTTGGACAACCTTGCTTCCCCCCTTTTTGCTGTTGTCCACATACTTTTGCATACTTGGCTGACAACAACATTTACTCTCATTTTATTGCCGTTTAGGACAAAATAAAAGCTTTTTAGTGAGCTGAGGAACTCGAAAAGCTGTAGGAGAGATAGATACCCGGTAAGGCGACAGCATTGAGGCTGGAAAGGAGGATGTGAGCCAATTCAGTGTGAGGATTAGATGTCAGTCTGATACTGAGTCAGAAAGCTGGACTGGTATCAGTGACAAGAGATGAGATGTCGTGCAAGTGTGACCGACAGCTTTTATTTGTATGTTGGTAGAGAAGTTTTGGACTTGACTGCAAACTGTTATCACGCAAGCTGACATAGAGCGAAAAGGTCAGTCCTCTTTGTCGTTGCACTTTCAGTATCATCATATAGTATTTCACTAATAAACAGTCTGTTAAATTTACTACACTTGTGCCGTCTGTCAATTTTCTTCAGTTTATTGCCTTAATTTGTCGATGCTTGCATAATGGCGAGGAAGCGTTTTGAATCTTAACCTGGGTCACAGAGACAGCAACCTAAGCAATTCAGTTCAATTTTAGTTATATAGTGCCAAATCACAACAACAGTTGCCTTGGCAACTTGTTACATGAAGGTATGTAAATAGATTAGCTGGACCTTGCTTTTCTACTTAATCTGGACGCATTTTCGTACTACAAGCTTCATTCAAACACATTTATAGAAGTCGATTATTTTATGTCTAACCACTTTGTGAGCCAGAGGTCGACCAAAACCTCTGATTAGTAGACAACCCGCTCTGTCTCCCGAGCTTCTGGGACCGGGGTGCGGAGGCTTCAAAACTTCCCCTTTTCCCTATCACAGTAATCCAGTGACTGCTGTCAGCACTTTCACTGCAACACAGCTAAAGTAAGTGTGCAAAGTTAATCCAGCAGACTTCATTTCCCAAATTGTAAACCAGCAAGTACATTGCTGCTGGGGTGAAACATGATAACTTTAACCTGTGACTAATCCCATTCTTCCTTTGGGCTCCACCTCCACCTCGAAAAGTCCCAGGCAGAATTCTGCTGAAAGTGAATTGAATTGGCCGAGTTGTGTCACATGAGATGAGTTACAGTGCCTGAGATTGGTCTCTGACTTCTTGTACACGAGCGCTGACTATTGTAAATATAAGATAAGTTGCACATTTTAAAACAGAAACGGTTCACTGAATTCTAAAAACACGTCTGGACCAGATCCAGACAACATTCCAACTAATAGTCACATAAGCATTAGAGGGTTGCTTAGGCAACAGGAATGTCAGGTCCCTGTGTGGGCGTGGCTTTGAAGAAATCATTTTAATAAATCTATTTTAAAATGCTCAAGTATGTTACAGACATTCATGTCTCTTTGTGTGGCTTAACCTGTAAATAAAAAGAAGTAATGGAAATGAATCAGCTCTGAGTTTATTCTTGCAGAAAAAAAAAGGTTGGTATCATTGTGAAATGGAAAAGGTGCAAGCTGATACGTCTTCAGCCAGGAAAATCAAGACTTTTTAGTGGGTTTGCACATCTACTAAGAACACCTGAAGTTTTTAAATAATTTTCAATCATAATCTTTCAATTTTTCTTGATGCACTGAATTATTGATGCACTAACAGCCTCATGTGTTGCAGCCTTTTGCACCGGAATAAAGATGTCATTGTTTCATGCTGTGAATAAAACATCTGATACGATCCACGAATCGTACAAAACATCTGAAGTAAGGTGGCCAAACCATAAAGTGGAAGGACAGAGAAAAATATGGGGGTAGACGTGTGGAGAAGGACTCCAGGAGAAGGAGAAGGAAAGAAAGAGATGGAGAAAAAAAAAGAAAGCAAGATGACTAAATAAGGATGGGGAAACTGGGTGGGCTTAGACCGAGGGAGAAAAATTGAAAGTGAAGTGAGCGGCAAAGGGAATGAGACTGAGCGGGTGAAGGAGTGAAAGAGGGAAGCGGGGAGAATACAAAATGAGGAGAGGATTTCTCTTCTCATTCCTCGCTCCCTTCATTTTCCTTCACATCTTCCCTTCCCTTTATCAAGTCTGCACACTCGATCTCGTAAAGCACAGGTCTCACACACACACACACACACGCACACACACACACACACACACACACACAAACACAAATACACACACAGATATAGAGTTTGGACAAGGTCACCCAGACACAGTTATGAAGGGACTAAGTGGAAATTCATTTTCTACTCAAGATTGAAAAAGGCGTATCACGGCTACCTCGCAGCACAACATCACGTAACCCTTTAAATAACTAAAAATTAGAGCTAAACTTACATTTGTTCCACATTTGACTTACCTTTTTCAAAACCTTTAATTTCTGTGTTTACTAAACATGACATTGATGATTACTTTGAGCCAAAAACTGAAAGCAGCTACAATCAGTATTTTAATTATAAGAATGTATCAGAGTGTTAAAGGAGGAAGTTAGAGAGGATGAGCTGGATGTGCAGCTCCGCTTGGCTTTACTGAGCTCTCAGCACATTGCTGAGCTGTCCAGCTCATAACTATTGCACCGGTTCCTCCTCACTGCTCTCAGGGGTCACAGTGGGCAGCGCTGTCAGGTGAATAAGCTCACCAACAAAATAAAAGGGAAAGAAAACACACCAAGCAAATATCTGCTGAACACAGTGTCACATTTAACAGTTATCGCACATGCAGCTACTTATATAGTCATGTGCTCTTGGTACTCCTTTGGTGTCATCTGGCAGTATGCAAGTTGGTCCAGTAGAGTCACTTTGCATGCCAACGGTGACTTCACCACAGCTCCGCACCATTTTACAGCGCTAACATGCTGCAGTATGCTCCTGTACGACAGGGATCGCCACTCTGACAAAAATCCCCACATCAGCTCTGCTATAAGAGAAGAAAACTCCAAATTGGAAGTTTTTTTTTTATTGTTTGGTTTGTTTGTTTGTTTGTTTTTCAAAAAAAGTCTCATCTTTCAAACCTTGGTATAAATTATGAATTTCTGAGTTCCTGTAATGATGCTATTGAGCATAATGAACCTAAAAGGTGTGGGTGGGATAAAGTGATGGCAGCAAATAGCTTATTAAAAATAATAAAAATGATACAAATTACCTAAAAAAAAAATGCCATCAGTCCATCTTTTATATACAGTCTGTGGTCCCAAATAGGAAAAGTCCCGCCCGAGCGTCACTCGGTGAATAGTTGAACTGAGAACGTGATGGATTCAGTCAGCAGTACATGGACACCAAAGCAAACAAAAAAACTAAAGGAAACTTTGGACTTAATAAGAAAGATAGAAACACTACTCCAAATGAAAAATAACGTTGCCCCACAGCTGCTGGATGTGTCGATAAGTAACAAAATCAAAGAATGATGGACCCTTCATCCATCATATTTGCTCACTGTTGCATCATTGTTGGGTTAGATCTAAAACTAATAATAACTCATAAAACCGCAGTGGAACGATGGCACTCTACCTCTGGAGGTAAAGCAGACAGATGGTGCAGTGTTACATCTCTGTTGACTACGGAATAAAAGGGAAAAGCAAACTGACCACCACACACACACAAACACACACACACACACACGGAGCCTGCAGGTCATTTCCATTTGTCAGGAGCAGAGAGTAAAGAGCACTGGAGGCCATTCTTGTTCTTTTATATTCCAAAACTAAGTACTCCTATCTCTCCATTATATTTCATGACCACGTGGCCGTACCACTGATTTTTTTTTTCTTTCTGTCTTTTGTCTTTTACATCTTTTAACCTTATTTGCCCGTCCAGCTCAATTAAATTCAATATATTATACTTAATTTATATCAGAAGAACAGCTGCGTGCTCGTCAAACAGAGCAGAAGTCTGACTGGAGACTGCAGTCTGTCTCTCTTGGTCCGTCAGAACGAGCGTACAGCCTGATAAACCCACCCGATCCTTCCTCGTCTTCTTCTTGTCCTGCTCTCCTCTGTCATCTCTCTTCCTCTTCCTCTCTGCTGCATTGCACATCCTGATAAAATCCCGATAGAGAAAGGCGATGAAGAGCTCTTCTCCAAATTATCAAGACTTGAGAAAAACTATCTTTAGTGCTGCTGTGAGATTCTACACTGTAGTAATAAAGGGGGATGTTTGATTGTTGAGGTTTTCTCTCAATTGTTGTCTTTTTCTTACAATATAAAAGTTCTTTGAGGGGGATTTTGTTGCAATTTGGTGCTATATAAATAAAACTGAATTGAAATAAATTTCCATACAAAGCACAACAGAGCCATGTTTTGATGGTGCTTACTGCAAATTCTGACCATACCATGTGAATGTAGCAGCAGAAATTGAGACTCACACCAGATAATGTTTTTCCAGTCTTCTATTGTCAAGGTTTAGTGAGTCTGAGTCTCAGTTTCCCCATTCTTTAGCTCATGACACAAGAATATTTAAATAAACTCTCGACTGACTGCATTTATGTGAGCATGTCACTTGGATCCAGGTCACATTTATTTCTCTGCAAGCTGATACACAGCTAAGAGCAGCAATGAGGAAATGAAGATGAGATTCCAGCACAATAACTTCCGTCTGTTTACTTCTAGAGAAACGGGAGCGGACTCTCTGTGGCTTCATGGGAATGTTTACTTGTACGCTTGTTCTGCCAGAAGCCATCACAGCATTAACAGCCCGAGCAGTAAAACTGAGAAAAATGACTTCACAGCTCATCTCCTTTCCCTAAAGGCACATTTTAGTAGATTATTTTCCACTTTATTAGCATCATTATTGCTGTTTCTTTAATGAAGAGCATTGTGTTTCAAGGGTGTGCTGGAGAATAGACGATGCTGGCTCGCACTCACAAACAAAGTCGAGGACTGACAATGAGATATTACCACATAAATTTATAGACACGAGGGAAAACATCCATCAAGCTTTTGTAAATCTAAAGTTTACTTATTTAATGAGAGAAAAATCTCATATCATAGACTCTATATAAAAATTGGACACAACCTCTAGTACTGAATAAAGAGAACATGTTTTTTAATGGCCAGCAGGGAGCGACTCATGTTGTTTATAGAGAAAACTCCCTCAGCTCACTCACTGGGTGAACCCTCTTTAATTTCATTTTCTAGCTTTAAACCAGAATAAAACATGATGCTAATTTTGTAAGCTAGTAGCGCCCAGGAAGACCAAAAAGCATGCTATGCTTAACAACGTGAATGACAACTACAATTCAATTTAGCTTTATTTGTATGGCACCAACTCACAACAGTTGCCTCATAGCGCTTTATATTGTATGGTGAATTGTTAGCCTTGCAGTGTGGAGTACGACCTGGTGTGTCAGTTAGATACGCCCTCGTTCATCCCATTTGGTGTCAAAACACCAAGATGGCAATGTCAACTCGAAGCTCCACAGCAGGATTTTGGTAACCACTGGGGGATGTCACAGTTACTAAATTAATCTTTTATATGCAGTCTATTGCAAAAGGCAAGGCATGCACTTTATGTCAGATCGCCCCCTGGTGGCCAGAGATAATAGCCAGCAGGAGGCGCCTCCAGTGGTTTCAAAAGGACCTTCAGTTGGATAATTTGTGGGAGAATGGCCCCCGTCCCTCTCACTTAATGACATCAACAAACACTTGCCTGATGAGGGTTCTGGTTTTTCCAGTGGGTTATGTGGCTACTGGCCATCTTTGCATATAGTCTATAATCTATACTTTTGTATAGTCTCATTTAACCCAGAGCTGGAGCTAGGGAAAGGGTTTTCCTTAGAATATTGCCTCTAATAGTCACTAAAATTCGAGATGCAGATCCAGTCAGATAGACATGAAAAGTTAAGTTATGAAAAGCATGCAGTTAAATTAAAAAAATGTATTTTTTCCTCTGTTGAGGGTGTGAGCTGTTTGTAACATCTGCCTTTATTAGAAATTATCTTAAATATCACAATCCTTCATCCAAGCCTGCAAAAACTGGTGAAGCATAAAAGATATGACACAGGTATTTGTAAATGCAGACACGACCACAGCACTGAAGCTGGAGTCACAGCCTTCTCACAGACACTTAAAGCAGGTGGATGGATGCTGTCAGCAGAGCTGAACTCCTGTCTTTTTTTCTCTCCCTCCCTTTTGCTGGCATTTAGTACTCTCTGGCATATTTGCTCAATGAAATCTGCTGGGATTCCCTATTACCAATATCCCTAAACCATCACTAATCCAGGTTCATCCCCGGACCCACCACAAAGATTGCTTTTAGCCTCCCCCCACCTCAAATCTTGATACCACCAGTTATGTAACAGCTGTGAGGCCCGGAGGGTGAAACAGAAAGTGGCGTTAGAGAGTGAACCATTCAATTTCTTGCTGATACTGCCTGTTTTTTTTTGTTTGTTTGTTTGGGGGTTTTTTGGCCTCAATTTCACACAGGTGGCCACATCTTGTCAGCTACGGCTCTGAGTTACAGGCACACTCTCTTTCTTCTCTCTGTTTCAGGCTCAGTCTTACACTGAAAGATCATTTTTATCAGACTCATCTCTTTGAACCACTCCGTCTTTTCACTGCTTCAGCCTCTCACTCTCCATCCCTCCCCTTTATCACCGTCTCTGTCCCAGAAAAGTCAGGCAAGGTGAGAAAATTCCACCTCCCTGCCCGCCGCTGATTTCTCTCTCGTCTCTCGCCTTCTTTCTCAAGTCGTATTCACACGAGGACGACCACAAGACCTGACTTCGCCTTCCACATCCCTGCAGCTCTCACATGAGCTGACCAAAGCGTGATAGAAAGTGTGGTTTCTTTTCTCCTTCGCTGTTCAAATCTCACCACAGCATCCATAATATTTACTCTTCTCTCAACTTGGCCCAGCCTTGAACTAGCTATCAGAGCATGCCAAGCCGAACCTTCTCATAATAAGAGAGAGGCCGCTTTCAGAGAAACGACGGATCAAAACAAGGCAAACAGAAGTTCTTTTTCAGCAGTCAAGCATTTGTTTACCTCCTCCGTGCTCTGCTCAGCACATATTTCCCCCTTTGCCACGAGCCAGGAAGCGATTTTACCTGTTTGTCCTGTTCCAGCGAATGAGAGACAGGTGCAACTCCGATTTGTTTTCTGTTTCAACCTGCGAAACCTCTGTTGAGAAAGAGAATTAAATCTGATATTATGTCTGTGGGTTTTATTTGCTGCGGGCCACAGAGCTCGTTCCGATCAGAGCAGCTCCATGTTCCAGCCGAGTCGCCCCAAGTTAGGAAACCTCACCGAGGTGTTGAGGGGAAATTTTTCAAACGAGGCTGAAAAAGTGTCGAGAAACCTTTGATTTGTATTTCATGATGTTGATGTCAGAGCCCTAGAAGTTGTACAGAGACGCTGGCCGTCTTTAGCTGCCTGAGTTTTGGTGACTTCATCCTGCCAGTGGTGGTTTCCACCAAACGTGACAGCCATGAACTGCCGTCTTCCTCTTAGCTGCTCCTGATTCAGTCAAACAACTTTAATCAACATCTGGCTGGATCTGAATTTTGGCTTTAACAGAAATAAATCTTCGCTGTCACTCTTGATAAAAGGTTGGTTGTATTTTATCCACTGAGATTATTTCATCACAGAAAGCATAGCAACAACTTTAAGGTTTAGGTGATCGTCCAACTCGCTGGTTGGTTTATGGCGGTGATTTTGGGTTTCTTTTTTTGCCGGGTTGAGAAATCATATCAGCAAAAATTTAACTGAAGCACAGTTAAAAGTCAGGTTACTGGGTTTTCAGTCATGCCATCATATGTTTCAGGTTGTGCACTGTTATTTAATAAGTGCCATTATTGGATTGCTTCATTTATTTAACCCTCTGTTACCCTCCATAATGGCAGTGTTGTGCCAGAAAAAGGATTTCCTGGTATTTAAACTGTTCTAAATGACTTGTTAGCCTAAAATCTGTCTAAAATATCTCTTATGTATGATATTAAGCCATATTTTAGCTTCAGTTTTTGGGTAAAAAGTCTCATTGACATTAAAAATGTACTTTTAAAGACATCGTTGTTAGTGTTTCTGAAGCTTCCTTGGAAGTGGAGCAACAGACTCCTGCAAAAAAACTCTCACATGACGTAAGAATGTAACCAAACTGTTTATTAGACAGAAAGTGGGATTTTTAGGCTACTTGAGCCTAACATTAGCTGGCATATTATTGGCTTATAAAAGGCTGTTGATATTATGGCTAGCTACAGACAGCAGGATCACATGTCTAATCTGCAACAATATCAGGAATAAATGAGCCTGTTTATGCAGATTTTCTTATGTGTGAGCCCTCACTTCAGCTCAGGAGGTGTTTCGGGAGAAAAGGAAGAGGATTAGGTGGAGATGAGGAGGAAAAGGTGGATGAAAGATTTCTCCAAAGTGAAACCACAGACAAACAAAAGGGAGATCATATTGCTTTCTACAACAACCGACTGCAAACCACCCACCCACACACGCACACAAACTTCCACAATACTGACAATAGCTGCTAATTGGACTGAAGGAGGATGTTGATCACATTTTTTTAAACATGGATTCCAAACCCAGGCCCTGGTGCCAGCTGCTAAAAACTACGGCTAACGAGGATGAGCTGACACACAGATTCTAGAAAGCTCAGTCAGCTCTCCTCACTCATTAACACACTTTTCTTCTCAAAGACGTCCCCACAAGCTTGATGGCAGGACCGTGATAGTGGATTGAAATTCACCTATTGTGTCTAAAACTCATTTTAAATTGTAATCTGGGTTTAAAATTGAATATAAAAGCCAAAAAAATAGAGAACTATTGAATGAAACCGTCAAACATGACTTTAAAAAAAAAAAGGATCAAATTGTGCCACAGTTATTATATTTAGGGACTTCTGCACTTTGAGATGAAAATCAGTTACTGGCTTTCGTCAGAAGATGTTTCCAAAGTCACAAAAGGGACAAATGAAGGTTTATTTAATTACACCGAAGTTGGATTTCTGAAAAAAAAAAAGCAAAGTAAAAATCATCTTTGAGTGTCACTCTGCTGTCAGCTTACAGTGAGAGTAATTTATCACTTCAAAGCCTCTTTGGAAACAGAGATAATTGGAAGATTTTTCCCCTGAGACCAAATAAGCTGATGCAGATTTAAATCAGTTAAAAAACAAAACACGTGTGACAGTAAAAGCCTCACAAATCCAGCAGTCACCACAGACTCAAAGTGTTTCACCTTTGCACGCTGTGCACACACTCACTGCTACAAACTAATTAAAGGCAATAAATGCATGAAGTCACGCACACACACATACACACTGGCTCCGATTGCTACAGTACCTTATAGTGGCTCAAACAGCAGGCTGTGGGACTAAAGTTTGTTTTGGGGTGGCTGCAACAAGTCAACAACACTCGAGTGCCTCTGGATCCGAGCGAGTGTGCACAGAAAAGAGAGGCAAGGAGGAGGCGGGAGGCGAGAGGAGGGGGGAGGATTTGTGGGCAGAGAAACCAGCAGAAAGAGAGAGAGAGACAGAAACACCGAGAGTACAAATCAAGTGTACAAACTCCCAACAGAGGATCAAAGACAGCAGGTATGAAAGAGGCTTTAAAGTGGGAGGAGCAATGCAAACGCAAAGGAGGAAACGACGGATTAGAAAAAAACAACAAAGCACATGCACGATTGTTGGAGCTGAAAATATGAGGAAACGGGAGGCTCACAAATTCAGATCATTCCAACAGAGCAGACATCTGGCCTAGAGAGGATTATGGGTAATTAACTGCTCTTTAATGATCCCCGCTGAGCGAGGACTCTGACAGGACGAGTGCAGATTATACTCGGATACGTAAAAATGTGTGTTTGTAGCTCTGTGTGTGTCCGTGTGTGGTCATTCCCTCAGAGGGCAAGTCAGGGCAATAACTCAGACTACACTGTAATCCACCACAAGGACCACACACACACACAAAGTGGCATAAATGTCAACAGAAATTTATTCATTTGCAACTGAACACACAGCAAACGCCCTGGTTAGCCTCCGGTGCTGCTTTTCAGAGATTTTCATCCTTCATCCTGCAGGTATTAAAGTTGTTATTTGACCTGTTGTTTCAGCTGCTCGTGTGAAAATGTTTTTATTTCTCCTTTAAATCAACCCTGTATCAGGATGAAAGGCACACAAGTCCACATTCATTCATTCACAGTCTCAAGGCCGTTTGTTCACGCAGCCAAACACTAACGATGGTATCGACCGCAACCAGCAAGTCAACAGGTGCTGGGATGATAACAGAGAGACGGACACACCTGAGGAAATCTGAGTGTGGGACAATGAGAGGCAGCAAATGAGGGAAAAGATGAAGGCGGGGCATGGATATGGTTACCTATCTGGCAATGCACAGGAAGAAGCGAGCAAAGAAAGAAAGAAAGAAAAGTGACGTCATCTATTAAATGCAAAAGCTTAATTAAACACGGGGTGCACAGGGTCATAGTTTAATAAAAGCAGAATAATGCAGCTCATATCCTACTGCAAGCTTTGCTCACCTTCATGTCTTTCATTTAGTCATTATTAAAAAAATAAACGATCTGATAGAAAAGAAATCTCTTTATCTAGTTTTTTAAAAATGGCATGAAAAAGTCATGTGATACTAAACTGAATAAACAACCTTAACAAAGGTCACAATAGTTTTTCAGCTGCTTGATGCAACAAGTTCACTGATTGATTGATTACAGTCAGACTGAAATACTTCAACCAGCAAAATGTGACTTTTGGCTTTCAAAGAAAACTCACCAGCTGCTCCAAATTAAAAAGGTTTGGCAGCTCTCAGCTCAGTACAGCTTTGAAATCATCAACAAATCCTTACAACAACTTCTAGTTGCATCTGTGTAGGTTCTCCAGTCATCCAGGTCATGGTAAATGGTGAACAGTCTGGTACTTACATAACACTTTTCTACTTCAATTTAGCACTCAAAGTACTTTTTTACTACAATCAATGATGAGGATCAATGATTAGGACACACAGGAGGTTAAATACGTGGGAATCTCCAGGTTGTAGAACTGAAGAAGCCTCCCGAGTGACAAAAAAGTCTTTGTGAATCAAAAAGAAGCTGCCTTCTTTACAAGCACTCGAGGATGACTTCTTATTTTATTATCTGCTGATGACAGTTGCACCTGTTGTCAAAAGAAATGATTAAAACGGATGTTAAATGAATCTTTTATGCTATTAGGCTTTTTTCTCTGTAAAGTATCAGTGAGATCAGTGAATGGGCAAGAAATTCCTGTGAACCGAAAGCTTAAGTTTCAGACTGCTGTTATGTATCTGCGGTGGTTATTCAATGCTTGGCTTTACCTCAGCAGTTGGGTCTTGTAGCTGAGAGTGCCATCACACTGAGTCAAGATCACAGACTTCTTTTTGCTCCCAGCAAGGTACAGAGATTCAATAGCAATACCAGGTATTGCTATTGAATCTCTGGGTATTGTGTTCACAGATAGCACATTATCAGTGGTCTTTCTATAGCTTATTCAGAAAGTCACAAAAGCACAACAGTGGTAACACAGATTACAGCTTCTACAGCTTTACTGCTGTTTATGCTTGATGTTACCACAGTAAATTGCAAAGTCAGAGTTGGTAGGACTTCTCCAACTTTCAGGTTTGAGGTCAAGAGAAGATTGGATCGTCAAGCACAAGCTGGGAAGCCCAAATGTTTCCCAAATCATTTGTTTGTGAGGGAAAGCCAATTAAGAAGAAAGTTGGCTTAAAGGGAAGGTGGCTTTAGATAGAGAGGAGCTACAACTCTTGTTTCAGACAGAGGATGAACTGGGGGGCAGTACCAAAGCCCGGAATAAGATAAACAAGGGCTTCTTTGAACTGTGAGTTATGCAAAGCTACAAAGCAGCTAAGGGCATAAACTACACCATGCCCAAGTGCAACTGACCACTGAAATACATAATAATATAATAAGCAGTGTGATCATTGCCTGCCAGGAACAAATAAGCAAACCGTGCCCTGACCTATTTAAAAGTATGGACCCTGTTGCAGTACGTATGTAATGCAGTCACTATCCACAGCCCAGCATAGATCTCCAACGACAACGGCCTCTGTAAAAATCACTTTGCTAAATATTTTAGAGGAAAGAGTTTTACCACTCCCCCAATTAAACCTGTACTCCACAACAAGAGAACATTTCAAAAGCACTTGTGGGTGTGAAAGAGATGGGTAGAGAGCATGTAACAGAGGAGCTGACACAAACTGGAGGCCGCTTGGCCCCTGCCTGTTAAGCACAGCATAAGTGCAGACCAGCAGGATGGGAGGTGGAGGGGGGGGGGCACTTGTGCTTGAGAGCTGTGTAAGGCACCTGCGCTTTGTTTCAGTATGTGTTAAATATAAAAATATGTAGCTGCAAATTATCTTGGTTCTCTGCTTTTTTTAACAGGAAGGTAACATAAAAATGTATAATACAGATATGTCATAATATGAAGATCGTGGCCCCAAATGAAGACTTCATAGGCAGACTTCTTAAATGCAACAAATCTTCATTGTAGTGAAAGAAATTATTACAAAAGACAGGAAAAAACATAAATCCAATGAGTGCACACACGACTGAGGGAAAGCAGGAAGCACAGGGTGACTCACCAACAAGCTAATGCAAACTTTAGACAGACACATGAGGGAAATCGAGGAAATCAGAAACATCAGCTGAAACTGTTCAAGACAACAAAGGAAGTAAAATGGTAAATGGCCTGTATAGCGCTTTACTAGTCCCTAAGGACCCCAAAGCACTTTACACATTTAGTGATTCACCCATAGGTGATGGCGAGCTACATTGTAGCCACAGCCACCCTGGGGCACACTGGCGCCACCGGGCCCTCTGACCACCACCAGTAGGCAACAGGTGAAGTGTCTTGCCCAAGGACACAACGACCAAGACTGTCCAAACCGGCGCTTGAACCAGCAACCTTCTGTTTACAAGGCGAACTCCCAACTCTTGAGCCACGATCGCCCACAAAACACAGGAAAACTATACAAGAGCACATGAGACAGAGGATATTTTAAAAAAAACAGAGACGAAGACTCAATAAGATGCAGGAACACACTTCTAAACACTCAAGACAGGTAACAAAAATTAAAAATGAAACATAGAGTGATTAAACAGAAAAAACTAGATACTAAGAATAAGAAGTACATCTGGTCTTGTGCCTGGAATCTACTGGAGCTGCTTCCAATGTCTGGGTTACAGTTCCTGATCCTCCTATTACCACTGAAACCACTCTAGACTTCACCTTAAACATTTACTCTAGTTGTTCCTTCAGTCCCTGGTACTTCTGTTTTCTCGTGGTCTTTCTTCCTGATGCTGCTATCTGCTGGGATTGCCAGATCTATCACAACTGTGGATACTCCATATTCATTCCAGCACTCTGTCCTCTTTGGTTTGGCATGGAGCCTATCCCAGCTGTTACAGGTTGAAAAGGCAAGGTGCAACCCAGAAAGGGTCACCAATTTATCACAGTATTAACACGTATGTGTATCTGACTTCCATTCGGATACAGATACAGCCAATTCACAATTAACCAACCAAACCAACTAACCAAATCCCAACAAGTCCTTGGAATGAGAGAGGAAGCCAGGCTCCCCGGAGAGAACCCATGCAGGCACAGGAGGAACATTCAAACGCCATATAAATAATTTGTCTTCACATTTGTAACATCCTCGTGTTTTTCCATTGTGACATCACAATGTGTCATCACAGAACAGCTCCAAGACAGCACATTGCCACAACGTGTTCCTCTTTATCTTCGTTCGTTGACAGGGACCTGGATTGACCACTGTCACCTGCAGCCTTAATTAATCCCACAGCAGATGTGCACTAATTTGCAAGCACATATGTGTGTCATTGTGTGTGTATGTTGTGTGTGTATGAGTGCTATACGGGGCTGTTAATCTGCTAATCCACCACCCACAGAGCCAGATTACTGCTAGTTTAATAATGAAATGTGCCGGACATTAAAATATACCAGTGATCATGAGCTCACCACAGAAGGAACAACACAACACATCCTTTACCTCGCAAGACAACACACCTTCTCATTGTTGGAAGCTTTATTACCACTGAGTTACATGACATGAACTTTAACCCCACTCATAACATGTCAATTTGCTTAACAGACTATATAGTAGAACAGATGTCCACAAGTACCGGCTCAACTGATTTGTGGGAAAGAACCAAAATGGAGGCGTGGCTTTCAGTTGCTATTAATGGATATTCAACCTCCACAAGAAAATCACCAGAAGGTCGAAATTAATGCACAAAAACACACACAAAAAGGAAATACTTTAGTTTTGACTTGTTTGAGCCTCAGAGTTGCAATGAAAGATTTTCAGATGTCCGAAAGGAGTGCAGCTGTCTTAAGCTTGGGAACAGCTGGACACCAGGTCATGTTTATAATTTGACTCATTATGCAACTCTTTAGCACCAGTTGTTAAATGTGCAGCATAGTGCCCTCGAATGACCAGATGAGGAGGTGTAAACCTGGTAAAAGTTCTTTGGAAACACTCACCCAAAAGACAGAAGTTCGAAAAAAACATCGAACTGCCTAAATTTGCACATGGCAAAACTGCAAATATCATACCGCAAATGTAGTTGTTGTCAAGAACTGAGGAAGACTCCATCAGACATGCCTCAAATCTGTAATGTAAATTATTCCCAGCTGGTCATGTTTACATTTGTCTCCATGGTTCAACATAAATGCGGCATCACTCAGGACTTGCTGCTCGGAGTTAATTGCCTCTATTGGTTGATTTGGTCTGACTAAAGAGCAACATAAATACTAGAAACTGTCAAAGAAAAATCATTTTAAGAGATTTAAAGACTTCGATTTCATTAAAACTGTAATAAAATCCTTCAATTACTACCAGAACTAAATATTTCCAGTGTTGCTACAGTGCAGTGTGAGAGAGTGGGGGGTTATGTAAGGACATTTCTGGCTCCGAACCCCAATCTGGTTACGTAACTTTGGTTTGGGAGAGATAAATGTGGTCGTGGTGATGGTGGAGGGTGGGGGGACCGTGGAGAAAAAATTTCCACAGGGTTGGGGGGGGTTCATGGGGCACGGGAACATTTCAGATATTCTAGATCTCTGCCCCTTTCTTTCTTTTCTTTTCTTTTTACATCTCCATCCAACCCTCTTGTATCCCCCCGAAATTCATCCCTCAAGCTCAGCAAACTGTTTCCTACTTCTTTCTTTCCATCTTCCTTTCTTTCCTTCTCACAGAAGTGTTTATTCATCCCACCCTACATCTGTCAAACTCGCATAACTATCCATATATAGACAGAAACCAGAAGAAAAGGGCATAAAATCAGAGAATGAAAGCATTGAGAATGAACAAAAAAGGAGAAAAGGACTGTGGCAGTTTGGGAACAAACAACCAAGAAGGTTTGATGATGTAGAATCCTAAAAGTTCAAAATTAAATCACCCAGTTCACAGTGTTCCCACGTCTGCCTAAAGCTGTAACAGTCCCAAAGGCAACCCTGATGCAACAACTGCACACAACATCTAAACACTGTGAAACACTTTGTTCGCCTGCACACTGTGTTACCCTCGATTCAGATAGACCACTCTCCTAAACTCAAACTACATCACAAAGTACATCTGATTATTGGCTTGTAGTACCAAGCTCCCAAATCTCCACATCCCACACTCCACCTAATGCATCAGACCCTCCTCAGCCCACTCTGTACAGCTATTACAAAACTGCACTTCCTCAACACGTGCCAGAATAACCCTAATGACATCACTGTGGCATCATCAGGGTGGGATAGATTTACTGTGACTTCTCAAAGCTCCTCCAGATCCCCACGAAGTGTTACATAACTGTTTTCATAGGCTCAGTACACACAAAAGGATCTTCTCTGTTTTGTTTTTTTGGGGGGTTTGAAATCTTAGAGCGTCAAGAGGTTAATCTCAAACGTCTATAAATTTGAGTTTTTGACAGGTCCCTACACACTCTAATGAAGATGACATATTTTAATCAAAACAGATTTAATAATACACATGCTAATCTTTGTTACTGTAGACAGCACACATGGATTTGGCCAAAGTGTCTTAAACCTGCACAAGGTGACTCCTCTGGTTGGATGGAGGGCTAAATAACCCTACCTTCCTTTTCTCTGGTGGCTTCATGGGGTCACTAGTTTGAAGTCAAACTGAAGAACTGAAGCTTCCCTTCAGTTTTACAATTTTAATTTATACTGATCGCTAGTTGCTACTGTGTTTTGCCAATAAAACCCTGGATTATGTCAAGAAAAAGCTTGTGGTTGGGATGAAATTATAATGACTTTTGGTTTCTAACATTTCCTTGTATATAGCTCACATCTGCAGCAGATCTGTTTCCTCTGGAGCTGAGGTCTCACAGAGAAAACAGATCAATTGTATTATTATTTTTCAGTCTATAACACAGATTGTTATGCAACAACAGATCCCACTTTGGTACTGCTGTCGTCCTGTTTTTGGTAAAGCCGGGCAGTCCAGATTGTTACCAATATGCTCAAAGACTGCGAGCCAGACGCTGGACTTGGGATTTCATTCTGCTTTCGTAGAAACAAAGCTGACTTCAGCTGGGAGTATCAAATCTCTCACATGTTTTATTTGGCTGAGAGCAGCTTTTGTAATTTATTATTCAGTTTATGGCCCTCAGGTTAAACTAACAGGCAGCAGAACATCTTCCTTCCTCAGTTTAAACTGTTAGACAAGATGGGCCTCACATTGCAGCTAGCCAGAAAACGCAATCTGCTTGAGCTGTTAGATGATGCATGTGTTTGCCTGACTCAGAAATGAACTGTGACCAACAATAACATGTACATAACTCGCTCAACCGCAAGTCCACTTCTGTTAAACATGAATAAATAGGCCTTTAGGAATTTGAGCAAACAGCTGATGGTGTTCTTTTCTCTCTGGGTGGGTCTCCTGTAAGCCAATAAGGGGGAAGAATGCACTAGGATTACTTCATAGCTGGTGCACCTAGCAGATTACAAAGAACCAAAAAAAAAAACATGTGTGTTTAGCTGGAGAGTTTTCCAAAAGATAAAAGATTTGTACTTAAGCCTGACACACGCACAGACACCAACAGCAACCTCTAGAGCTGAAGCCAATGTAAATAACTGGTAAGAAATAGACCTAAAAAGACAATTGGGGTCAACATTTGTGCTGCTGGTGCTATTTGGAGCATTTTTAATGGCGCTATCTAACCAGTATTACAGCTTCCTGTACAGTGCAGACCATCCAGGAAGCTACAAGTTAGCAAGCCGGCTAGTCTGAGCTGATATGTTGACGCTCCACCCTCTCACCCGATTATCATCGCCTCTGGTTTAAAAAAAACAAACCAAAAAACAAACAAACACACGGCAGTTGTTGAGTCTTCAAAAACCAGAGTCCAAAAGCAATCCAGTCTTTAAGTCTGACGCCATTAGCCGTGTCTGGACCCCAAACTCCAATTTCTAACAGAGTTAGAAGTTAGCAGGGAGTTAGCTCACTAGTTTCCTTCTAAACATAATATAGCATGTTCTGACTGAGAGATTTCTGAAACAAATTAAGATGTACAGCTCTGCTATCACTTCCAACATAAATGTAGACAGGAAATTAAACAGCAGTGATGTTTGTAGAGTTGGTGAAGTTAGGCTAGCTGGTATATACTGATGATCACTAGCGTAACATAAACACAGTGAAGCTGGGGGATGAATGCTAACATTTTTCCACTGGATAGAAGTTAATGTGAGGGTTCCCAATGCTTAGGGACAAATACAGTCACATGGCAGGATGCTGTAAACGGAAACTTCAAACTTCAGGAGAACAACTGAGATAATCCATCCATAATACGAGGTTAGTCATTATTATACTGCTGCATGGGCTGGGCTGTAGTTAC